GGTTTAAATGTAATTAGCTAACTTCCATTCGTATGCAAAAAAGCGATTATTACCAACAAACTTGCCACAACATTATTTAGACGAAATTGAAATAAAAAATGATTCCGTTACAAAATTCTTAGGCGTTTGTCTTGATGAAAACATCTCCTGGAATCAACACGTTATGTTACTTATGTTACTACTAAAATTTCAAAAAACATTGGGATTCTATATAAAGCTCGTAACTACCTTAATAAAAATTGCTTAAGCCAACTTTATTACTCTTTTATCCACAGTTACATAAATTATGCTAACACTGCTTGGGGGAGTACTATTAAAAGTATTTTTTTTTTTTTTTTTTTTTTTTTTTTTACAACTATTTTCGTCATATTTATAATAAATTATTTACAATATATACATTTTGAGTTAAGATATGACAGGAGCAGGCAGAAGACAAAAGTCTTATCATCCAGCCCCTTTGTATCATTTACATATCAAACCAAAAAAAAAATAAAAAAATAAAAAATAAAAAATTACCCATCATATAAGAAAAAATATATATATATACTTATACACACATACACATGCATACACGTACACATACATACATATACATATATACACATGCACATACACATATACACATACACATGTTTATATATATTACAATCTCAGTAAAATAATATTAAATACTTTTTTTTTTTTTTTTTTTTTCCAAATACAATACAAATATAAAGATAAGTAATGATATAAAGTGTGATACCGCTTTTTAAACAAAAAGAAAAGTTAACGAAATAAAAATAAGAGAGGACAAAATAAAAATTAGAAATAAAATAATATTTGAGATACGTCATAATCAAGTAACTGTTTTTTTAAGATACTTTTAAAAGTTTGGATTGAAGCTGTAGTTTTACTATTATTTAGGAGAAATGAGTTCCACAAATGTGGCCCTTGGTAAATTATTGAGAATTCAGATTGTTTTAACAAAGTTTTTGGTACCTGATAATTAAGCAATGAATGCTTTGTATGATATTTATGATCTATAATAAAGAAAAGGTCTTCAAAAATATTAGGTAGCATATGATATTTTAATCTAAACATGAATAAAAGAATTTTATAGATATTTAATTGGTAAACATTCAGTACTCCAAGCTTACGAAGCAGTGGATTGGCACTGGCGTATTTATTAACATTTAATATAAGACGGCTTGCCTATTTTTGTTTTTTTAAGATACAAGTTAGTCTTGACAGATAAGTGCTTGCCCAAGCAATGTTACAATAACTAATATAGCTATGAATAAATGAAAAGTAAATAGATTTTAAACAGTTTTTATCCAACATATATCTAGTTTTATACATGATTCCAATACTTTTTGAAATTTTATTTTCTATTAGATTAATATGCTCTTTCCAATTTATTTGCTCATCGATTAAAACGCCTAAGAATTTAACGCAGTATGTTCGTTTTAACTTGGTTTTTTCTATTAAAATATCCGGGAGTTTTAAAGGCAGCGTTTCAGATTTAGAGGATTTAGAAAAGAGAGTATATTTGCTTTTAGTAGGATTCAGAGAGAGTTTGTTGGCTTTAAACCATTCATTAAGGCTATCAAGTTCACTATTCATAGTGGTAAAGATTGTCTTAATGTTAGAGTGATTATAAAAAACTTGAGCGTCATCAGCAAAAAGAATAAAGTTTAGTATACTAGATGATAAGTAAATATCGTTGATATAAATAATAAACAACAAAGGCCCTAAAATAGATCCCTGTGGAACTCCGCAGGTAATGTTTTCTAATTTAGTGCAGGTTTTGTCATAAGATACGCATTGTTTGCGATTTTTTAGATAGGAACAAAACCATTTAAAATTATTATTTTTGATTCCATAAATTTTAAGTTTGTAAAGAAGAATATCATGGTCCACAGTATCAAAGGCCTTAGAGAGGTCAATAAACACTCCAAGAGTATATTGGTTGTTTTCAAACCCATTTAATATTTCTTTAACTAATTTAATTACTGCATGTTCTGTCGAGTGTCCTTTTCTAAATCCGTACTGATTATTATTTAAAACTTTGTAAGTTGTGAGATAGTTGTAAAGCCTATTATGTATTATTCGCTCTAGAATTTTAGAAAAACATGGGAGTATTGAAATAGGTCTGTAATTAGATAACTTTGAGATATCACCATCCTTAAATATTGGAACTACTCTCGCTAGCTTCAAGAGATCAGGAAAAACGCCATTTTTAAATGAAAGATTAAAAATAATAAGTAAGGGGTTCTCAATAATATCAAAATCTTCATTAACAACCTTTGGGCTTATACCATCAAGGCCTGCGCTTTTGTTTGGTTTTATCATATTAAAAGCAAACCGAAGTTCATCGGGTGATACCTCAAGCTCATCCATTACATAGTCCTTTTCTTTTAAATATGATTTAAATTTTTTTTTTCCTGGAGTTATTTTGTTTGCTAGGTTTTTACCCACGTTTATAAAAAAGTTATTAAAACTGTTTGCAATATCTTTTTTTTCACTAGTAATGTTCTTTCATCCTCAGTATATAAATATTTCGGTAAACAATTACCACGAGTTTTCTTTTCTTTTCCTATCACTTCCTTTATTATATCCCAAGTTTTTTTGTTATTTCCAATTAATTTTTTTTAGCTTTTTTTTTCAAGTTTTCAAACAGGTTTTTGTAAGTTTTATATTTTTTTCGTTTTGATAAGTTTTTTTTTTAATATTTTTCATAGAGTTTTTGTTTTTTCTTAGAAGATTTAATAAGTCCTTTTGTAATCCATAGACTTTGTAGGTTTTTACACTTGGTTTTAATTTCCTTCATCGGAAACGCTTTGTCGTACGCATTAAGAAACTCGTAGTAAAAAAATGCATAAGCTTTATTTGTATCTTTACAATTATGTAGTTGTTTTCAGTTTACTTTGAGTAAATGATTTCTAAATTCCTTGATATTAAATTCAGTAATCTGCCTTTTTATTTCCGTTAGTACTTTGCTTTTTTTTTCTTTTATATAAAAATCAGATATAAAAAGAATTGGAAAGTGGTCGCTTATATTGCTTTTTATGATTCCACTTTGAATAATGCATGTTGTGAAAATGTTAGTAAAAATATTATCAATGAGAGATTCAGTTAGAAGAGTTACACGAGTAGGCTTGTTAATTAAGGGAAGAATGTTGTATTGAAAAAGTGAGTTTAAGAAAAGTTTTACGTCGTTATCAATTTTAACATTAAGAAGATTTAAGTTAAAGTCCGCCGTGATGTAAATTTGTTTATTTTTTACTTTTTTTAAATACCATTTTAAGTGTTTTTGAAAAGATTTTTTATTTCCGCTTGGTGGTCTATACAAAGCAGTTACTAATACGTTTTTTTATTGTGGTTATTAAAAATTAAAACTTCTTTATCGTTTTACACATACAAAACCTATTTTTACTGAAATGAGATTATTAAATTTATTTAAGCTCAATGTATTTAAAATTTTATGTTTTCTATATTTATGGAAAAATAATTTATTCCCTACCGCTTTTAATAATATTTTCAAACTCAAACCTAACAACAAATACGATATGAAAAACATAAATTTTTTAAATGAACCGTTTTGTCACACAAAATTTAATCAATTTTGCATTGCTTATCGTGGACCCCACCTATGGAATAACATTGTTCTGCAAAATTTTGATCAACCAACTGCCTTTTATCTTTTCAAGCTCTATCTTAAAAAATGTATTTTTCACTTGATAATATACTTAGATACTTCTGATATTTTGAAAATTGTTATTTGACTTGGGTTTTATTACTTTTTATTTTTTAATTTGACTTTATTTTTTTTATGTAATACTTGTCTTTATTTTGCTTGCTTGTATTTTATAAGGTTCTAACGACAAGATCTTGTGATCTTCTTTCAGATCCTAGCTTATGTTAATTGTTAGCAATTTATATATATGTACATCTATTCATGGAAAACTTTTTACAGGGGCGTCTTTAGTTACAGCTGGCTCCCTGGCATTTCTAAGAAATTGGTCTTTGGCAGTGCAGATATGAAAGAGGGTTGGAGTTTATATTTTTAAGTACAGCAGTTTTATGAGACTAATTCTTTTCAGGGGAACTTTTTTCTCAGCAATTTTTTCTTATAATATATTATAATATGTCAGTTTATAACCTCTGCTTTAAAAATAGCATGGAGACCCAGAGATCAATTGTTTAAGGCCATCTCTGGAGGAAGATGAATCAAGGAAGGAGCGTAAACTTCCTTTCAAATTCTCTTTTGCGGTGTTTTGTGATAAGACGGCAAGGACTACTTGGGGCACCTAAAATAAAAAAATTAAAAAAAAATTTCTATAAAATCTCAAATTCCGAAAAAAGAAGAGAGAAAAATCAAATTAAAAAAGACATTAACTGTTCATATCGTGTTGTAATTCGTATTTTAAATGACTTTATACACGTACGAAGTTGTTTTTTTTTTAGTTTACATTTGTTGTCATAGTAAATAAATTACTTTCACAAACACAAACAAGGTTTCTTGGTAAATTATTTTTTAAAAGAAGATCGAACTGATCTTATCATAAGAACCTTTTTTAAGTGTGTGTTTATATAAACTACATCAAGATATAATCAACAAAATAAAACGTAATTAACAATAAAAGTTTTAAAGAAAATATAAAACTACAATTAAAAAAACCTGACTACATCATCCATTTAGATAATTAAAATTTTCAGCTTGTATTTGAAAATAGGAAAAGTAACATGTCAGTGTACGGCACTGACTGTTTAGTCTTATTTTGATAAAAATGACACTTTTTGAACAAGGGTCTTCAATTACACATTTTTGCGTTTATGTTGGCCAATTTTCACTTTAGTTTGGCATTTTTTCATTTTAATTTAGCAATTTTACCTATAATTTGTGAAGTAAAAATTGCCAAATTAAAATGAAAAAATGCCAAATTAAAGTGAAAATTGTCGGACTTAAACCAATAACTATTTTTTTGAAAAGAGTAAACCTCACGATTATTTTTTTTCGGCACCGTCGATAAGTCTTATGCTTTCCAAGGTAAGAGATGGCAACAGATCGGCCTTTTGGCTGGTCAAGAAGAACTCGTGTCCTAGTCTTAGCCCTCGTGGCTCAATATCGATGAAGAAAATAAGAAGATGACGAAAAAAAATACCACATTTTCCGAAGAAACATGCTTATTTTCTAAATCTGGTAAGTTAATAAACTTTGTATAAATTTCCACATTTGTTCTGCATTTACTTTTTTTTTAATATCCAAAATGTATTTATTTTCATAAATCTTGTGCTTCGTGACATTAAAGTGGTTTAGATACAGTATAAGATCATATAAATGTTTTCATAAAAAATATTTGATTAAATTCTTAAATGGTTAGCAATTAGCTATTTAAAGTCACTAATATTTGATGTTTTCTAATGTTGTTTATATTATTATACACCTAAACATAGATATCACTACTTCATGTAAATTAAACCAAAAAATCAAGATCTAACAGCAAATATTATGGTACACTATAAAAAAGTATACATCAGGATATATAGTAGTGCTATCATGTATAACATCAAAATAGCATGTTATTTTGCTGTTAGGTTAAAAAGTCACTGGATATTCTTGTGTAATGAATATACCATAACATTCCTCTTTCATACCATAGTGATATGGTATATCTTAAAACTCTTTAATATTTTTTAAAGCTGAGGTTGCTATAAATTAACATAAGGGTTTTTAATGTAATAGCTTGTTTAACTGATAACCTATTTGGTTCGTTTAACATATCAATACTAAGTGTAAACCTATCACATCTGAGAATAGCTGCATTAATTTATTTTGTTGCATCTAAAGGATTTGGAAATCTCTATTATTTGTTCCTGATAAGAGAGAAGCATGGAACTAGTTAGTGTGGTGCAATTATTGTGCTAAAAGTCTTTTTAAAAATCTTATCTATTTTTTTCTATATATTAAAAATGATATTTAAAATTTAATAGGTTGTTTATTAACATCTAGATATTTCCTATCACAAAAATTAAGTACTGACTCATTCAAAAGAATGTTAAGTTTAGGGAAAGCATGGATTAATTGCATTTTTTGTTTGTTTAGACAATGAAGTCATTACTTGTTCACAATGACTTACTACCATGTACACTGATATGCTTGCATTAAACTGAAGACTATTATTACTGAACTGTTATAAGAGCTTTTTTAAGTCTTTTCTAAGCTTTTTTTTTGCAGAAGTTGTTTTGTTACATTTTTTATTGACTTTAATTGTGTATTCAACTATTTTTGTTTGTACAATGAATTTTTTTTAAAAATATATTAGCACTTTTTTTTAAATATATTAATATGTGGTATTAAATAAAAAGCTTTGATCAGAATAGTTTTGTTAAAAAATATTTTGATTAAGAAGTGTAATTTTATTTTTTTGGTTAAACATTAGGCTGCAATAAAGGTACTTTCAAGAATTTTCTATATATCATTGCAAAGCAACAATTTAATAATTAATTATTCAATTTTTGCTTTGCAAGTCAATCGTATTGATTGTTAAATTTACTTTTATTTTTAGATAACATTAATCCAAGTGAAGTAGTTTCATTGGATTGTGAAATGGTTGGCATTTCAAACAACCAAGATGCCTTAGGACGTTGCAGTATCGTAGATTATTTTGGAAATGTTTTATATGACAAATATATAAAGCCGGAAAGTACTATTACTGATTATAGAACTAAGTGGAGTGGAATAAAACCTCATCACATGCACCAAGCAATATCTTTTAAAAAAGCTCGTGGTGAAATATATAATATCATTAAAAATAAAGTAATTGTTGGACATTCTCTTCATTTTGATTTTAAAGTTCTAAAGTTGAACCGTAACAATTTCAAGATAAGAGATATTTCTACATCTACACTTTTACGACAGCTAGCAAATTTTCCTTCGAATCAAATTGTTTCATTAAAACGTCTTGCGCAGGTCATTTTAGGAAGAGATATTCAATCTGGAAGTCATTGCTCAATTGAAGATTCTATAGCAACAATGGACTTATACAAAATAGTTGAAAATGACTGGGGAAACAATGTTAAAAGTTCAACATTAAAGTATCTTGACGACTTTTTCTGGCCTTGTTGGTTGCAATAATATTTTGTACTAACATTATTGCTCAATATATAGTTTAAATATATAACCATTCATTGCATTTTTTACTATGGTAACTCTCCTTTCACTCTTGAGTGGCTTTAAATTAAATATTATGAGACTGATGAAGATCTAGAATGCCAATAGAAAACTCTCAGCGAATTTATTACAAATAAAATGTTTCTAGCCATTTAAACAAAGTGTTAATGTAAAAAATGTCTATGTGAAAATCTGGACTTAGGCTCTTTGTTGCTGTATTACTGATTAAAGACGAAATGATATTTAAAAAAGGTTTAGCCATAAATCACTGCGATATTTTTTAAGTTTTTATTCTATATCAATGCTATATGTGTAAATATGTCATTAATCAAAATAGTTCTAAAGGTTTTAAAAACAACTTCACAATTCGATTATTTAATGAGTAATCAAAAGCATTTGATGTAGTTGATCATCTCATTCACAATGGAGCTCAGTTGTACAAAACCTTAAAAAAAATGGCCAAAATACGATTTTTTTTCGAAACATTTTAAAACGGTATATATTTAGATAATATAAGCAATATAATTTATTAAAAACAAAAACAATTTTTGTTTTTGTCTTTAATAAATTATATTGCTTATATTATCTAAATATATATTAACGGTCCTGTTAATAAACATAAATATATTATTTATGTTTATTAACAGGACCGCTCCATGAGTTATAAGACATCATTTTTGTAATAAATTTTTATTCAAAAAAAAAACAAAATTTTGTACTTTATATAACTTTAAAATTATAATTGCAACTTTTTTTTTGTAATTATACATGAAATTATTTTTCAAAACAGTTCAAATTTCTTTAGTTATTAAGTTAGTTAATTTTAATTTAAACATTAAGGGAAATTTTTTCAAGTTTATATATTGTTCAAATGGTGTTACTGGTGGAGGTTTATTCATTGTTTTACTAAAAGCGACCAAAAAACAAAGAAAAATCAAAATTTAAATTATTTTCATCATTTTGATGTTTAAAATTTGAAAATTGTTTTTAATCGATTAATCGTTGTAAACGATTAATCGATTAAAAATCACTAATCGATTAATTAACAAAAGATTAATCGATTAATTTTTTTTTAATATAACAACTTTGCGATTTTTTGTTCCAAAGATTTTTACGAACATTTACAAGCGTTTTCTTAACGAAAAAGATTTGTGTTGATTTTTATCCGGCATCCGGTCAAATAAAATTATAAACAGCTTTTTCATAGTGCGGCTACTTGGAAAAAACCGCTCTGAAGTTTGGAAACATTTTTTATTGGAAAATAAAGACAAATCAAAATACAAGAGCAAACATTGTTCTGTCAAACTTAAATTCATTCATCAACTATTGTGATAATATAGGTAGCAAAGCTAAAGATGTATTAGCTCGTTTGACTGCTGTTGATCGTATTCCTTTTACAACTTTGGCCAATAGCAAAGATATTAAAAAAAGGACTTGAAATCCCTGATGATCGACATGCTATAAAAACAGTTGTTATGAAATACGCAAACTCAATGAAGTTAAAAGTTGTTCAAGAGATTCAGCAAAAAAAATAAAAAGGTGAAAGGTTTTCAATTTCTCTTCACTATGGTCTTGGAATGATTAGAATAAATGGTTCGTTGCCTTCAGAAAGAGCTGTTAATATTGTTATTGATAAATTAAATGAATTTAGCTTGAATTTGATCAATAATATTTTTGGATGTATTACTGACAGTGTATCAGTAATGAAAAAAATGGGATGAGAAATGGAAGTTACACACCAACTTTGCTACTGCCATGGAATTCATCTATATGTATGTGATATTCTTTTTAAGAAAAAATGCTTAGAAATAGAAACAACTCAAGTAGAAATAATTTGTGATGAGAATGAAAATGAAACATCTGAGTCCGACCCTGATGATAAAAACGACACTGAAGAATGCTGGAATGAGGAAAGTATTAGCTCTGTTTCACAGGAAATCCATTTTAATGAGGACTATGGCATCATCATATCGAACGTTTGTAAAATAGTCAAACTTTTCAGAAAATCTCCACTTAAAAACGATTCCCTTCAAAATATTTGTGGAACAGATTTAGGAAATGAACTTAAGCCTATTTTGGATACTTAAACAAAATGGAATTCTCTAATAAGTTAGTTAAAACGATTTTTAAAGTTAAAAAATGTTATTGCAAAGGCTCTTGTTGATATATCTAAGGCAGATTTAATTTTAAAAGAAGAAGAAATAAAACACATTTCTGATATTGTTCAGGCTCTACATGTTGCAGAGTTAGGTGTTATGGAACTAGGGAGAAGAGGCTGTGATCTGGTAAAATCTGATAAAATTTTTTTTTTTTTACTACAAAATCATAAAGAACAAAATACTAACATTGGTCAAAATTTATTTACTGTTGTCTCGGAGAGAATTGTCGAAAGAAGAAATTGTAATATTACTGGTTTACAGTGTTATTTACATAACCCAGCTGACTATGAATCAGACTCAGAATTTCCAGATAATCTTTTGAAATACCCACATAAAAATAAAATTGCTAAAACTGCTAGAGAAATATACCTACGTTTATTTCTACACGAGGGAGTAGAAACAGCATATGGTTCTGAGTTAGAGTCTACTTGTAATACAGAACCATTAAGAAAAAAAACTAAAGCTGAAGAATTAGCAGAAATAATATCTAATACAACTTCAGCAGCAGGAAAAACTAAAGGGCTAACTTTTAAGTCTTCCCCTCAAGAAGTTTTGACTTGCATTAAACGTGAAATTGCAGTACTCGAAAGCACTGGAAACAGGCCAAGTTCTTTAGAAAAGATTTATAATGCCATGCTAAAACTTCCCCCGTCTTCTATAGAAGCAGAAAGAAGTTTTAGTGCAGCTGGTTTATTTGTCACTAATTTAAGAACTAGCTTAAATGATGACACTATTAATAACTTATGTTTTTAAAGATCATATTTGATGAAAAGAGAAATAAAATCATAAAAAATATAAATTACTTTTTGTTAAGTTATAAACACATTTTTTTGTTAAGTTATAAACACATTTTAAAGATTAACGGTTTACGGCATTACGCCGTAAACTTAACGGTACCGTCAACTGGGATGACTATGAGCGCTTTTGAAACATTTTTGTATCATAGAAGAAAACTGTTGGCCAAATTGCTACCCTTTTTTTGTAACAGGACAATATAGTTTCCAGCTTCCTGGAATATTTCTAGGCCTGATCAGCACTATGCAGTACGTACCTTAACTTTTTGGTTTTATATGACCATACCCATATTTCCAAAATGGGGTGAAAATGAACAGCCGATTCGGGATGACTTTGAACAATACATTGTATTTTAATTTTTCATTTTGTACGCTTTTTGAGTTGCTCAAAGTCCGTTAATTAAAGTTTTTAGCCTCAAAGTGTTATTTTTGGAAACTATGAAACTATAATAAGATAAAATTTTGCCTGTATTTTGTTTAATATTCCTAGCTAATTTTTTTTCTTTTTTAACTTCGAATCATAGTTCCTAAAGTTTGCAGAATAAAACTTAGATTATTTGTAGAAAATGTCATTTTTAAATGACCATAAAATCTGAAAAGGACAAGTTATATCATAATTTATAGTTTTATTGGAGCAATTTGAACTTGATGTACGCTAATTTTTATAAAGTTCTGATTAGCGGTTCTTAAGATTTGCTATTTAGTTTAATTGCCTAAACCACAGAACCACTATTTGAGACTTATATGAGATGTTTAAAGTAGGTGAAAAATAAATTTTTGAGGGCAGCTAAAAATTAACTTCTTTATATTATATCTAAGTCATCTGAACCAAAATAACACACTATTTAGTTATATCGTACGTTATCCTTCACCATTTAGTAAACTTGGTATTGATGTTCATTTTCACCCCGTTGTTCATATTCACCCCAGTTGACTATTGCTGAAAATAACAGTTTGTTACTAACGCGTCCAGAATTCTGGCCGTATTACAAAAAAAAAAATAATTTAAATTAATTAAAAACACGCATGTACTCAATTAATCAATATATTTTCACTTTAATAACTGAACATATATACAATCAATCAATCAATTATATATTCTGGAAAAAAATATCTAACTTCCACGCTCGTTACAAATAGTTATAAAAACTAATTTAAAGTAAAAACCTCTTTGATGATATAAAACATATTATAGACACATATAGTTATAGTGATAATAAAAATAGCAATAAATTAACAAAACAACAATAATAAAAATAATTAATTGTATAGTAATAAGAGTAACAATAATAATATTACCAGTAAGTATAATTAACACCCAATAATAATGATTAAAATAAAAACATGATAATAATAAATACAATACATATAAAACGGAATTGTTAAATAAATATTTAATAGAAGGCTGTTCATTAATTACGTCAACAAAAATTATAAATACCAGTAACTAAAAGAATTAAATCAATACAATCTTCCATACAACAATCAATTATATATACACAGTTAGAGTTACAAACAGTAATTAACTGACAAAATGTAGTAAATAACGATGACATAAAAACGATTATTGATAAAAGACTACAAAGACTCGATAAATATAATAATTTTAGTTTTTATAATATAATAACAAAAATATATTGTGTGTATAATAAACAAATAAAGAAAATATAAACAAAAAAACACTTATTATACATAAAATTAAGGTTAATAAAAGTTAAAAAATGCATTAAATGCATAAACGACATGTAAATATAACAATAAAAATACACATCAATATAAACAATGTATTCACTGAACAAAATTTAAAAGTTTTTTTTTTTTTTTTTGTACTCTACATTTTCGAACTATTTTTTCTTTTAATGAATCTTTTTTTTCTATTTGGTACGTTATTTTGACTTGCTTTTTATCTTTATTTGTTTATATCTATTGATCTTGTTTTTAATTTATTTTGTTTTATAATTTGATATTTTTAAAATGGTATTTTGATTTTTTTTTCTCCATTTTATTTCTTTCCTTTTTTGCTGTTAAATAAAAACATCCTCCATTTGCGATGTCATTGCAAAGAATATGGGCCTACTCATGTACTCACTATACAATAGTGAGGAACAATTACAAACAGTTAAAAATTGATGAGGTATATGGGCCTACTCATGTACTCACTATGGTATATATTATGTAACAAAATCATTAACTAAATGATCTATAAATTAAATGATTTATAATTTCTATTAAATTATTAATAGTGCTTGCCACTATTGGAGGAGTATATGTTTGTAACTGCATAAATTTCATAGGCAATAATACCCATGTCATTAAAAATACTCAAGTGAAAATGGCAGATGGTTTAAATTCTAGAGATACCTTTGCTTACGCCATTAAAAAAGCATTCAATTATTGGTCAGTTTTGCAAATATCAAGAGAGCATGGTTTTGGTGGAAGAAATTCATTTGAAAAAGAGGAATGGTTGTATGACTCAGTTTTGCAAATATTTACTGAAAATG